AAAATTTGACAATTCAAGCTTTCTGCTTAAGTGCCCATTCTTCCACACGAACCTCGTTCCGAATCGCCGTAAGCTTTCCGAAATGTGGTTATGGGAAAAAAGGACATCGTATGCGAAAGTTATACCAATATTTTTGAAAACTGAAAATCCAAGCATTCTGTGTACGTAAGTGCCGGTTCTTCCACGTGAACCTCGTTTCGAATCGTCGCGAGCTTTCCGAAATGTTGTTATGGGCCCAAAACAGACACCGTATGCGAAAGTTATGCTAATTTTTTTGAAAACTGACTATCTAAGCACTTTGGGTATACAAGTTCCGATTTTTCCTCATAAACCTCATTTCGAATCGTCCCAAGCTTTCCGAAATATGGTTATTGGCCTAAAACGGACACCGTATCCGAAAGTCATGGCAATTTTTTCTAAAACTGACAATCTAAGCGTTCTGTGTACGCAAGTGCCTATTCTTCCAAGTGAACCTCGTTCCGAATCATCGTGAGCTTTTCGAAATCTAGTTATAGGCCAAAAACGGACACCATATATGAAAGTTATGCCAATTTTTTTGAAAACTAACAATCAAAGTGTACCATGTACGTAATTGTCGATTCTTCCATGCGAACCTCGTTCCAAATTGTCATAAGCTTCCTAAAATTTGGTTATGGGAAAGAAAGGACACCGTATGCAAAAATTATGCCAATTTTTTTGAAAACTAACAATCTAAGCATTCTGTGTAGGTAAGTACCGGTTCTTCCATGTGAACCTCGTTCTGAATCGTCACAAGCTTTCCGAAATGTTGATATGGGCCCAAAACGGACACCATATGCAAAAGTTATGCCAATTTTTCAAAAACTGACAACCTGAGCATTCCGCATATGGAAGTAACGATTCTTCCAGGCAAACCTCGTTTCAAATCGTCGCGAGCTTTCTGAAATGTGGTTATGCGCCTAAAATGTACACTATATGCAAAAGTTATGCAATTTTTTTGAAAACTGACAATCCAAGTTGTACATGTACACAAGTGCCTATTTTTCCACACAAACCTCGTTCCAAATCTTCACGAGCTTTCCGAAATGTGGTTATGGGCCCAAAACAGACACCGTATACGAAAGTTATGCCAATTTTTTTGAAAACTAACAATCCAAGCATTCCATGAATGCAAGCGTCAATTCTTCCATGTGATCCTCATTTCGAATCATCGTAAACTTTCTGAAATGTGGTTATGGGAAAAAATAAACACCGTATGTGAGAGTTATGCCGAATTTTTTGAACACTAACACTCTAATCGTTCCGGGTATGCAAGTGTCTGTTCTTCCACGTGAACCTCATTCCGAATCATCGCGAGCTTTTCAAAATATGGTTATGGCTCAAAACGGACACCGTATGTGAAGGTTATGCCAATTTTTTCAAAAACTAACAATCCAAGTGTTTCGTGTATGCAAGTGCCAATTCTTCCACGCGAAACTTGTTCCGAATCATCGCAAGCTTTTTGAAATGTGGTTATGGGAAAAAACGAACACCATATGTGAAAGTTATGCCAATTTTTTCATACACTGACAATCTAATTTTTCCTTGTACACAAATGCCTATTCTTCCATGCGAACCTCATTCCGAATCATCTCGAGCTTTTCGAAATGTGGTTACAGCCCCAAAACAAACACCGTATGTGAAAGTTATCCCAATTTTTTTGAAAACTGAAAATCCAAGCATTTCGTCTATGCAAGTGCCGATTCTTCCATGCGAACCTCATTCCTTATCATTGTGAGCTTTTCGAAGTGTCGTTATGGGCCCAAAACGGACACCGTATACGAAAGTTATGCAAATTTTTTTGAAAATTGACAATCCAAGCGTTTTGTGTTTGCAAGTGCCGATTCTTACACGTGAACCCGATTTCGAATTGTCATGAGCTTTTGGAAATGTGGTTATGGGCCCAAAACGGACACCGTATGTGAAAATTATACCATTTTTTTCGAAAACTGACAATCTAAGCGTTTCGTGTACGTAAGTGCCTATTCTTCCACGCAAACCTCGTTTTGAATCTTCTTGAACGTTTCGAAATGTGGTTATGTGCCCAAAATGGACACCGTATGCAAAAGTTATGCCAATTTTTTCGAAAATTGACAACCCAAACGTTCCTTTTAAGTAAGTGTCGGTTCTTCCATGTGAACTTCGATCCGAATCGTCACGAGCTTTTCTGGTTACGGGCCCAAAACGGATGTCGTATGTGAAAGTTATGCTAATTTTTTCAAAAATTGACAATCCAAACGTTCCGTTTAAGTAAGTACTGGTTCTTCCACGTGAACCTCGTTCCGAATCATTGCAAGCTTTTCAAAATGTGGTTATGGGAAAAAAGGACACTGTATGCAAAACTTATGCCAATTTTTTCGAAAATTGACAATCTAAGCATTCAGTGTACATAACTGCCGATTCTTCCACGTGAACCTCGTTCCAAATCGTCGCGAGGTTTTTGAAATGTTGTTATGGGCCCAAAACGGACACCGTATGCGAAATTTATGACAATTTTTTTGAAAAATGATAATCCAAGCATTCTGTATATGCAAGTGCCCGTTCTTTCTCGCAAACCTCATTTCAAAACATCGTAAGCTTTTCAAAATGTTGTCATGGGCCTAAAATGGACACCGTATGCGGAAGTTATGCCAATATTTTCTAAACTGACAATCCAAGCGTTACGTACACTCAAGTGCCCGTTCTTCCACCTTAGCCTCGTTCCGAATCGTTGCAAGCTTTTCAAAATGTAGTTATGGGCCTAAAATGGACACCGTATGCGAAAGTTATGCCAATTTTTTTGAAAATTGACAATCTAAGCGTTCCGTGTACGTAACTATTGGTTCTTCCATGCACACATCGATCCAAATCGTCGCGACCTTTTCGAAATGTTGATATGGACCAAAAACGGATATCGTATGCGAAAGTTATGCAATTTTTTTCAAAAACTGACTATCCAAGCGTTCGGTGTACGCAAGTTTCGATTCTTCCATGCGAACCTCGTTCTGAATTTTCGCAAGCTTTCTGAAATGTGGTTTTGGGAAAAAAAAGGGACACCGTATGCGAAAGTTCTACCAATTTTTTTGAAAACTGATAATCCAAGCATTTTGAGTACGTAAGTACTATTCGTCCACATGAACCTCGTTCCGAATCATCGTAAGCTTTTCGAAATGTTGATATGGGCCCAAAATGGACATCGTATACGAAAGTTATGCCAATTTTTTCAAAAATTGACAATCTAAGCATTCCGTGTATGCAAGTACTGATTCTTCCTGGCAAACCTTGTTCTAAATCATCACAAGCTTTTCGAAATGTGGTTATGGGCCTAAAACGGACACCGTATGTGAAAGTTATACAATTTTTTCGAAAATTGACAATCCAAGCATTCTGTGTATGCAAGTGCCTATTCTTCCATGCTAACCTCGTTCTGATTCTTCGCGAGCTTTTCAAAATGTGGTTATGGGCCCAAAATGGACACCGTATGCAAAAGTCATGCCAGTTTTTTCAAAAACTGACAATCCAAGCATTTTGTGATCGCAAGTGCCGATTCTTCCAAGTGAACCTCGCTCTGAATCGTCGCGAGCTTTTGGAAATGTGGTTATGGGCACAAAACAAACACCGTTTGTGAAAGCTAGACCAATTTTTTCGAAAACTGACAATCCAAGCATTTTGTGTACGCAAGTGCTTATTATTCAACACGAACCTCGTTCCGAATCTTTGCGAACTTTTCGAAATCTGGTTATGGGCCCAAAATGGACATCGTATGCAAAAGTTAAACCAATTTTTTTGAAAACTAACAATTCAAGCATTCCGTGTACGCAAGTGCCGATTCTTCCATGCGAACCTCATTCTGAATCGTCGCAAGCTTTATGAAATGTGGTTATGGGAAAAAATGAACACTGTATGCAAAAGTTATGCCAATTTTTTCAAACACGGACAATCTAGTCGCTCTTGTACACATGTGCCTGTTCTTCCACGGGAACCTCGTTCCGAATGGTCGCAAGCTTTTCGAAATGTTGTTATGGGCCTGAAACGGACACCATTTGCGAAAGCTAGACCATTTTTTTCTAAAACTAACAATCCAAGCATTCTGTGTATACAAGTGCCTATTATTCAACATGAACCTCATTCCGAATCTTCACGAACTTTCTAAATTTTGGTTATGGGCCCAAAATGGACACCGTACGCGAAAGTTATATCAATTTTTTTGAAAACTAACAATTCAACCGTTCCATGTATGCAAGTGTCAATTCTTCCACGTGAACCTCGTTCTGAATCGTCACAAGCTTTCTGAAATGTGGTTATAGGGAAAAATGAACACTGTATGCGAAAGTTATGACAATTTTTTCAAACACTGACAATCTAATCGCTCTTGTACACAAGTGCCTTTTTCTTCCACGTGAACCTTGTTCCGAATCGTCGCAAGGTTTTCGAAATGTGGTTATGAGCCTAAAACGGACACAGTCTGCGAAACTTATGTAATTTTTTCGAAAATTAACAATCCAAGCATTCTGTTTAAGTAAGTGCTGGTTCTTCTATGCGAACTTCGATCTGAATCATCATGACCTATCCAAAATGTGGTTACGGGCCCAAAACAAACCCTGTATACAAAAGTTATGCCAATTTTTTCAAAAATTGACAATTCAAACTTTCTGTTTAAGTAAGTGTTAGTTCTTCCACACGAACCTCGGTCTGAATCGTCACAAGCTGTCACGTCCCCAAATTAACATTGATATCTATACACAACCTAGATATAAAATTTTACATATATTTTTTTTCGAGTTTGTTAACTTCTAATCACCTGTGACACAATCATATAACATATCGAAACCCAAAATCATATCGCCATAATCCAACATATATATTCTAAGCTTATAAACATATCTATAGGCCATTTCAAAAGTACACTATATAGGATTCCAAAATATAACCCTACAGATGGCAGCCTACAAAATAATCCTACAGGTCATCATCCATGTACATCGAACTTTGGAATCCTGTAGGAGCTCCACAGCTAGCCATGCTCTCTATGTAGTTCCATGCTCACCTACAATGCAAGAACTACATAAGGCAATGCTTAGTAAGCAAAATCATGCATGTCCTGAACATGAGTAATAACGACATATGACACCATGCCATTTACTTTAAGTATCATGATAAAAAGTATCATACGTCAAAGTTGACTAGAAATCATTTCACTTGAAATCTTTCATTTCATTGGGCCCTTGACCCACCTACTATGCACCGGATAGAGCTCTGCATAATATCAATATCAATAATCAAATGGCCAATATGAATTGACACCGACGAGTGGACCATCCTCTCGTAACCACTAGAGGCCCATCCCCTGACTATCCCTATGATCATCAAAGAAGTCTCCCACCCGACAATGCCAATAATCATAATATCACAAGGGCACAGTCGAGTGGTCCGCCCTCCCGTGATCACCAAAGGCCCATCCCCTATCTACCTTTGCAATCACCTAGAAAGTAACACCCGCAATGCCAAACATATCACATAAGCATGCCTCACATGCCTTGGTGCCCTAGTAGTGGTCAATAAAACATTTATAATGAAACTCACTTTGAAATCATGTTTTGCATGCAGGATTTTCAACCATGTTATATGTTGTGCATGCATATGAAAATGCTCATAAATGACGTATTTAATGAAAATCGAGGTCAATAGGTTACGCAACCTCATACTCAATGATCGTAACCACCATATAATGTGCTATAAGCCTCTTATCAAAGTTATGTAGATATTTCAACATTACTATGTCACCTATACTAGGTTCTTGCATCGTAGTTGCAAATGAATTTTCACTTACCTTTCACCTTTGTGTGTGCAAGCTCCTATGGAGATTAGATCAATATCCTTTTTGACTCGAAGTCGGAAAATCACCTGTATTACTATTTAATATTAAAGAGAATCCTCAATTTAATAACCTTAATGCACAAAATCCCAAAATACATCCACTCTCTCCAAAATAATTTAGAGGGAATCATCATTTCAAGTTATCGATGGCATTACAAACTTATCCCATAAATCTCGCTATTTCTCAAGTCAAATTATGAACGTCAACATCATCCAATTTTTGTTGGCAACCTAGCACCCTCAGAATCTATTTTCTAGGGCCAAGAGATTATTAATGTACATGTAAAGGCTGAAATCATATTAAACACAAAATTGGACAGAATCTGTTTTCAGATTTCCCTTACCGTCCAATTATTTTTCCAATCCCTTTTCACCCCCTTATCTATATCCAATGACTCTGAAATTTTTACCACATTTCTATAACATGTATATGAAGGTAATAATTCTCTAAAGTCGTGACAAGTAAAGTGTTCTCTGTAAGTGTTATGCCCTAGGTCCAATCAACTTTAGACATAAATACTTTTATATATAATTAATGCAATTAAATGGCAGATCTATTATTTAATTAATAGACAATTAAATAAATAATAAAGTCCGTAGATTCAAATATCTGTAATTTGTTAATCACAAGGAGTTGTGATTGTGAGATACAAATTATATCTGATTGAATCTTAAATCATCCGTGGTCGTAAGTAATAACGAGATACGGATATCGTTATTACGGATAGACCATCACGTGTGGCATTTCTTACTTGTGAAGTAAGTAGCTGATCTTACAAGCTAAAGTGTGGTGACACTTAAATGAACACGTGGATGTTTTTGTTATAGATCAAAACATTGGAGACCCGTCGAGAGATTCCGCATGGATAACTATCTGAGTGTTAGTGGTTAATCTCTAACGTTCGGTAGTGGAATTGGTCCTTTGACTTGAGGTCGTCATAGTACCTTATATGAGGACAGTCATACTTTGGCGGTGTTGGATGTTGCTCTGAAAAGGGCCGCTAATACGATATCGTTCGGGTACGTCAAGAATCGTATGAAGGTTGTGATTGATCAATAAAAGATTCGTCACTCTTAGATAGTAGGAGATTATGATCTGCGTTTCATTCAATTAAGTCGATGATGAAATCCTTGGCCAAGTGTACTCATGAGTCGAAAAGGAGTTTTCGATTTATATTGACTTAATAGTGGAGTGAAAGATATGATCGATGATCGAGATTGACACAACTCCATATCTCGTAATTGATCGGATCATATTAACGAAGGGATTATAGTTTCACGGTAAACGAACGAATTTGGTTTTGTCATACCACGTGACATTTCCCGTCACATGTATTGCCCTGACACATTGCTAGATGTCAATCAGGGACGGCGAATGTGAATTGACAATAAATTAAAAGGGTGTTTTAACTTATCAATTTTGATCAGATCAAAATAATATTTCACGTCGTTAGGCATCGTGGTCGGAAACCTAATGGGTCACACACAAAAGAGAATTGGAAGATTGCAAATTGCCAATTGGTTAATTTAACAATAGTTGGATAAATTAATTAATTGGATTTGTTATTTATATTTTTGAATTAATTAATTGGATTAATTAATTCACGGACCGGGTTTAATTAATTGGATTAATTAATTATTGAACCGGACCGGGCCGAGCCTATTTGGGTTTATATAAATACATAACTAGGGTTTGAGGTCCATAAGGTTTTCATTATTCTTGCTGGCACAAGAGAAAACCCTAGAGGCTGCAATCATATTCTTTGTGCGGATCACCGTTGGAGGCTGGACAATTGGACAGCTGTGATGGCGAATCAAGGTTGATGGAACGAAAAGAAAAACAAAAAGATTGCAGATCTGGAAAAGGTACAATCTTATCACAATTTCTATCTAAACACAAAGGCGATTCTTAGTGGGAATCGAAAATTATTTTAAATTTCGCTGTGCATGTATAAGTAGATTCCCAACATTCTCAGCCTCAAAATAGTCCATTTCCACAACACTAAAATCAGACAGTTTTCCATTGTGACAGTTTTTGGTTTCTATTTTATTAGCATGTTACCAATCAGATTTCAGGCTATTAGAAGCCATTTATATCCTTATAACTATCATGTAAAAACATTCGTTTACATAGATACAAGTTATATCTTCAGTATTATCCAAAATCAAAGTTTAAACCACTTAACTCTAGCAATTCCACATCACTACACAGATTGCTTTCTTTCAAATTCTTGTAACTAATTACCCCTATTTTTGGCATCATGAAATCATTAAAAACACTCTAACCCAATCAAAAGCAAGTTCATATGTTTAGGAAATTATAAACCCCTCAAGAAATAATGGATACAAACCTCAAAACTGTGAAGTAACTTGGCTGTCCAAAAACTTGAGCTTGCTGTTTCTATTTCTCTTTGATTCTTTCACTCTCTTTTTCGCTTGGAATCACTTAGATACGAGATAATGGAGTTAAAATATTATCTAGGAGGTAGATGAGTGGTCTTTAAATAGTTAAGGTCGTGCTTATTGCTTAAGGATTAAGGAATTTATGGGCTGAAGCCACATCAAGCCATCAAGGTGAGTCACTAAGCAGGTGGTGGCTTCTTGCTGCAATATTTGACCTTTCTACCACTATAGTTGGATTTTTTAAGCCTTATAAGATATATATATCCCTCCTACATGAGATCATGCCTTAAGGTTAAAGAAATTGAGTGTTAAAATGTTAAAATACCCCAAGCATGAGGTATCTTAGCATGAGGTGTCTTCATGTCAGCAATACTTGACTTTCAACCATTATATTTGGATTCGTTTGTGACTTTTAAGATATATATATCTATCCTATATTAAGTGTTTAGGGAGTTTACACGAGATTGGTGCCTTAAGGTTGAAGGAATTGAGTGCTAAAATGACAAACATCCCAAGCGCGAGGTGTTCAAGCATGAGGTGGTCACTTGTAGCAAAAATCTGATTTTATATCTATCTTTGCAGGCACAAACCAAGTATCCTCAGCTTATTTTGACGTGTTTACAATCCATTTCACTTGTCCTAAGATCCCAAAGTATTTCGTAGAACTAATTCCTCAACCGTTCATTTAATTACTTACCCGATTAATACCCGATTCTCGATTAATTTCCACAATTCGCACCTCAATATCTATAACGTCATATGAGACATATATCATCGCGTCATGATCATGTCCCTTTATGTCCCATGTGCCAAATATGTCAATTACCTATCTAGGGTTTAACGTGACCTCGAACAACCGAATAGAAAGCTTGAACTTTTGTCGATACTAATTTTCGACCTTTTCGATTTTCATTACTTACCAAGCTAATCTTCAACATCTAGTTAACCTAATTTTCTATCATAGCTCAATGTGAATTTCACTACTTAGGCCAAGGAGTCAAAGATCATCACTATATAAAGATTTTAAAGCCTCGATGATCAACACACATTTTTAAGAGAAAATAATTAGGAAGTTGATCAAATGACAATGTAATTAGCATGGAATGCATGAATCATATTGGCCAAATGTAGAACGTAAAGTTCGAGGTATTACACAAGCTTTCTGAAAACGTACACCGTATGCGAAAGTTATGCCAATTTTTTCAAACAATGACAATCCAATCGTTTCGTGTAAGAAGTGCCTGTTCTTCCATGTAAACCTCGCTCCGAATCATCACGAGCTTTCCGGAATGTGGTTATGGGCCCAAAACGGACACCGTATGTGAAAGTTCTGCCAATTTTTTTGAAAACTAACAATCCGACCATTCCATGTATGCAAGTGTCGATTCTTCCATGCGAACCTCATTAAGTATCATTGTAAGCTTTTTGAAGTGTGATTATGGGCCCAAAAAGGACACTGTACGCAAAAGTTATGCCAAATTTTCCAATAACTGACAATCCAAGCATTCCGTGTTTGGAAGTGCCAATTCTTCCATGCGAACCCCATTCCGAATCGTTGCCAGGTTTTTGAAATGTGGTTATGTGCCCAAAATGGATACAGTAAATGAAAGTTATGCCAATTTTTTCCAATGCTTACAATCTAAGCGTTCCGTGTATGCAAGTGCCTCTTCTTCCATGCGACCCACATTTCGAATCATCGTGAGCTTTTCAAAATGTGGGTATGGGCCCAAAACGGACACCGTATGCGAAAGTTATGCCAATTTTTTTGATAATTGATAATCTTAACATTCCATTTAAGTGATGATTCTTCCATGTAAACCTCGTTCAGATTCATCGTGAGCTTTTCGAAATGTGGTTCTGGGCCAAAAACAGACACCGTATGCAAAAGTTATGCCAATTTTTTCGAAAACTGACAATCCAAACATTCCGTATACGCAAGTACCAGCTCTTCCACGCGAACCTCATTCCAAATCATTGTAAGTTTTCTAAAATGTGGTTATGGGAAAAAATGGACACCGTATACGAAAGTTATGCCAATTTTTTCGATAACTGACAATCCAAGAATTCCACATACATAAGTGCCAGTTCTTCCACGTGAACCTCATTCCGAATCGTCGCAAGCTTTCCAAAATGTTGATATGGGCCCAAAACGTACATTGTATGTGAAAGTTATGCTAATTTTTTCAAAAACTGACAATCCAAGCTTTCCATGTATGCAAGTACCGACTCTTCCAGGTAAACCTCGTTCTGAATCATCATAAGCTTTTCGAAATGTGGTTATGGGCCTAAAACGGACACTGTATGCAAAAGTTATGTAATTTTTTTGAAAATTGACGATCCAAGCATTCCGTGCACGTAAGTGCCTATTTTTCCGAAATGTGGTTATAGGCCCAAAACAGACATCGTAAGCGAAAGTTATGCCAATTTTTTCGAAAACTAACAATCCAAGCGTTCCGTGTACGCAAGTGTCGAATCTTCCGCGTGAACCTAGTTCCGAATCATCGCGAGCTTCCCAAAATGTTGTTATGGGCCCAAAACGAACACCGTATGTGAAAGTTATGCCAATTTTTTCAAAAACCGACAATCCAAGAATTTCATGTATGCAAGTACTAGTTCTTCCATACGAACCTCGTTCCATATCATTACGAGCATTCCAAAATCTCTTTATGGGCCCAAAATGGACACCGTATGTGAAAGTTATGCCAATTTTTTCAAAAACTGACAATCCAAGCATTCTGTGGTTGCAACTGCTGATTCTTCTATGCAGAACCCACTTCGAATCGTCGCGAGCTTTTTAAAATGTGGTTATGGGCCCAAAACGGACACCGTATATGAAAGTTACACCAATTTTTTCGAAAAATGACAATCTATGCGTTCTGTGTACGCAAGTGCCTATTCTTCCAAGCGAACCTCATTCTGAATATTCGCAAACTTTTCAAAATGTGGTTATGGGCCCAAAACGGACACCGTATGCGAAAATCATACCAATTTTTTCGAAAATAGACAATCCAATTGTTCTGTTTAGGTAAGTGCCTGTTCTTCCACACGAACTTCAATCTGAATCATCGTGAGCTTTTCAAAATGCAATTATGGGGCCAAAACGGACAACGTATGCGAAAGTTAAGCCAAATTTTTCGAAAATTGACAATTCAAGCATTTCGTCTAAGTGTCGGTTCTTCCATACGAACCTCGTTCTGAATCGTTGTAAGCTTTCCGAAATGTGGTTCTGGGAAAAAAGGACACCGTATGTGAAAGTTATGCTAAATTTTTCGAAAATTGACAATTCAAGCGTTCCTTTTAAGTAAGTGCCCATTCTTCATTGCGAACCTCATTCAGAATCGTTGCAAGCTTTTTGAAATGTGGTTATGAGAAAAAAGGACACCGTATGCGAAAGTTATGCCAATATTTTCGAAAACTGACAATCCAAGCATTTTGTATACGTAAGTGCCGGTTCTTCCACGTGAACCTAATTTTGAATCGTTGCAAGCTTTCCAAAATGTGGTTATGGGCCTAAAACAGACACCGTACACGAAAGTTATGGTCATTTTTTCTAAAATTGACAATCCAAGCATTTTGTGTACGCAAGTACCTATTCTTCCACGTGATCCTCATCCTGAATCATCGCGAGCTTTTCAAAATGTAGTTATGGGCCAAAAATGGACACCGTATGTGAAAGTTATGCCATTTTTTTTGAAAACTGACAATCCAAGCGTTCTGTGTATGCAAGTGCCGGTTCTTCCACGCAAACCTTGTTTCGAATCGTCGCAAGCTTTCTGAAATGTGGTTATGGGAAAAAACAGACACCGTATGCGAGAGTTACGCCAATTTTTTTGAAAACTAACAATCCAAGCATTTCGTGTACGTAAGTGCCGGTTCTTCAAGGTGAACCTCCTTCCGAATCATTGCAAGCTTTCCGAAATGTTGATATGGGCCCCAAATGGATACCGTATGCGAAAGTTATGCCAATTTTTCAAAAACTGACAATCAAAACATTCTGCATATAGAAGTACCGATTCTTCCAGGCAAACCTCATTTCAAATCATCGCAAGCTTTCCGAAATGTGGTGATACGCCTAAAATGGACACCATATGCCAAAGTTATGTATTTTTTTGAAAACTGACAATCCAAGCATTCCATGTACACAAGTGCCTATTTTTCCACGCTAACCTCATTGTAAATCTTCACGAGCTTTCTGAAATGTGGTTATGGGCCAAAAATGGACACCATATGCGAGAGTTATGCCAATGTTTTTGAAAACTAGCAATCCAAGCGTTCCATGAACGCAAGTGTCAATTCTTCCACGCGAACCTCATTCCGAATCATCGTAAACTTTTCGAAATGAAGTTATGGGAAAAAATGAACATCGTATGTGAAAGTTATGCCAATTTTTTCGAGCACTGACAATCTAATCGTTCTGGGTACGGAAGTGCCTATTCTTCCACACGAACCTCATTCCGAATCATCGCAAGCTTTTTGAAATGTGGTTATGGACCTAAAATGGACATCGTATGTGAAAGTTATTCCAATTTTTTCAAAAATTAACAATCCAAGCATTCCGTGTACGCAAGTGCCGATTCTTCCACGTGAAACTTGTTCCGAATCATCGCAAGCTTTTCGAAATGTGGTTATGAGAAAAAATGAACATCGTATGCGAAAGTTACGCCAATTTTTTCAAACAATGACAATTCAATTTTTTCGTGTACACAAATGCCTATTCCTCCATGTGAACCTCCTCCGAAATCATCGTGAGCTTTTCGAAATGTGGTTATAGCCCCCACAACGGACACTGTATGCGAAAGTTATGCCAATTTTTTTGAAAACTGAAAATCCAAGCATTCCATGTATGCAAGTGCTGGTTCTTCCATGTGAACCTCATTCCTTATCATTGCGAGCTTTTCGAAGTGTCGTTATGGGCCCAAAATGGACACCGTATGTGAAAGTTGTGCCAATTTTTTCAAAAACTGACAATCCAAGAATT